TTCTGCCATGTATCTTTTTACCAACAGGGCCAAATTAAAGAAACATGGACTCTTCAAAAGTTCAAGCTTTTCTTGAGTAAACAAAGCACAGTCTACGACGCACAAAATATTTGGAACAATATAGACGCAGCCATTGTCCACACTTTAATGATTAGCGAGTCTCTTCTCTCAAGCAATAACCTAGAGAGGTATTTCGTTTTTACTATCACTACTTTCTGACAACAATGCGTCCAACATCTTGAAAAGTGAGACCCGAATCACTAGTATGTTGTGCCTTAGAATATATTTTGTAGCTGCTAAACCAACTAATCTATCATTATATCGTATTATATTAACTTGACATTAGCTTAGAACCTTTTTTGAAATTCCTTTAGGAGTTATGATTTAGTGATTCAAGTCCCACTATTCAAGATGGCGGACGCATTGTTCTTTGAAAGTACCTAATGCATATATTTTAAAGTCCTGCGTGTATCCGAGAAACTTGACACAAAACGACTTTTTTCACATACGAATGTCCGCCATCTTTGATTTGACTTGAACCAGAAAGAACTTTCGCAAGAGATCATTTGTAAGGCAAGAACAAGCGATCGCAAAGTTTCTCTTATGCACTTGGGCCTTTCAATGAAACTTCTTCGTTGTAACGGATCCTTTCAAAATACTTCTTTTCAGTTCCAAAAATGGGTTCCAGCTTCTTGAATTTCATTTCACTTTTAATTCATCACTTTATCCTTTTTTAATAAAGGTAAGAACAAGACGAATTCTTTCAAGCCTCTCCTTGACAATAATTACCAGTTCAAAGCAGTAAAATSTCTTGTAAAAGGACACTTCAGTGTACTGAGTTAGGTAGGTACTAGGTAATTGATAGGGATTACATTGATAGATAGATAAATTAATGTAGTTTTGCAAACCCTTGCAATTCATCAGAATGAAGCTCCATCTTGGTGAARAGGCAGTGGTCTAAGATAGTTCAGTAAGAGTCTTGTTTTGTTCATMTGATGAAACTTAAACTCRAAATCATACTCTTCGAGGAACAAGTTGGACATTGCGTTACATTCAAATGCCAAAATTAAGTTATTTAGAATATAAGTAGAACTCAGCGCAACAGCTGTTGTTTTCTGTKTTGTCAGGCTGAACAAATACGTATGTAAAACGAACAAGCCTAAAAACCAACRATGTTGGACGTTCAACAAGATGAACGTTCTACTTTACTGCTTTTGKCGACACTGGGGAGAAAAGCACTGCGCATGCTTGTGTCTAAACAAAATGGCGACCGCGAAGACTTTGTGTACATGAAAGGCAAATATATTTCTTCTAATATACAAATAGTTTYGTATATACCTTAGTAAGGTGTTATAAAAACATCATGCCACTGTGAGAAGGAAAATCTTAACTTTTCAGTTTTTTTCATATCTTTGCGATTTTGTGAAGTAGACTCAAGACTTCAAGAATCGACGAARGTTCTTCCGGCCTAGTTTCCGAGGTCTTCCGAGCGTGCGCAGTGCGTTTTTYCCCAGTGTCCKTTTTGGCTTAGAGTTGTGATTATTTGTATCMATTTATTATTTCCAGGTTAAACCACCAGAACCTGGTCGTACTTTGCCTCTCGTTGCAAATGACACTGTCAGTATTTTATTTGCCATGACGTCATCATACAGTCACGTGACTAACGCATTAACTAAACTTAAAGACAGTATTGGAGTCGAGGTAAACGCTGTTGAAATAGTTTTGACAAAACGTTTTGACTGAACGAGTGAACGAGTTGAAAATGTCTAAAACACGCCAAAACCCCGCATTCAGCAATGCCTTTTTGCTTAAGTTTTTTTCGTTGAAAGTTTCAATTGTCCTTGCTTTTTAGAAGTCCCGACATTTAACCTTTCAACTTTGGGTTTAAACCTCAAAAGTGTTTTTTTAAAGTAATATATCAAAAGTGTTCGCATTTATGATCATTAAAATTGTGTTTTGTAGGGAGTCAACTGCAATCGCGAACAAAGTGTGTGCTTGTCTACTAAAGAATTGATCTACCTATTAGAAAGTCATAGAGAAAATTCTGCTAAAAGAGGCTTTAAAAAGGTATTATTGCATCATTGATTTGTAGATAGTATTYTTATACCGCTGAATCATGCCTACTGGATAGTATCGCCGGCCGAGCAGAGTCGATATTTTGACAATCGAGAGACTCTGCTAGCAGCGTAAATTGATATCGAATTTTACCCTATTCCGAGATACTATTAAATTAATAGCTTCGTAGAGTAGGAGTGCTTATGAGATGAACTAACTCCGCAACATATCTACAAACGCATGCTTTTTTTCGAAGTTCATGGGTCCGATTAAGCGATCTTAGATCGTCTAGTCTGCATGCYGGAAAGTTTGCTGTTTTGTGTTTTGTATGAGCTTCAGATGCCTCATACCTTTCTGTGAAAAAAATCCGAGATCTTCCACTAATATTTTTTATTTATTTTACTCATGATATTTCGTGTCTTCCCAGCTCTATCCGACAAATGACAGCCTTAGATACCGAACCTTATTAGTCGAACTACGATCATCTAGCGTTGGCATGGTAACCTCACATAATCGTGGCACGCCAGAACTACACAGTGCACTTTTACAGATGGAAAACTATGGCAACCAAGGGACCGATCATGATACGACAAAACAACGCGATAGCAAAAGGTTTGAATTTATCAATATAAAATGCAATTATATTATTATTATTGCTTTATCGAAAAACATTCTATGCAACGCATGAAATATTTCACCCGCCAATCATTGCAACACAGCTGAATGGTCTTTTCCATTAATGACGTCATGCTTGTATCGGCGAAATGCATTATGGTATTGATGAAAGAATCGAGATGACTGATGTCTGATATTGTAAAAACTATGGAAGAGGACGTTTCTCTCTAAAATAAACGTTTTTTGTTGTAGAGAAGCTTCGGAATAACCGTGAGTAAGATGGCTGCAAACTATAGCATACTCATGCTGGACTGGTAAATAAGTAACGCTTCTTAAAAAACAGCCTGAAAGATCTGAAGCACAATCTAAACCTATCAACATGGCTTCAGTGAATACTTTCGGCAATCCCATCACAGATCACATGACGTCATTAGTGGAAGTGACTGAATAAACAACCCTTAACAGCATAACACACTTACACAACTAAACGCAATCACACATACCAACTCTAAACATATCAAAACACAATGACTCAAACATTTTTGTCTGTCATTTTTGACACCAATGTTTATAGAGATTTCATTGATTCTGTTCCCTAGAAAAGAACATTGGCAAACCGATGATGAAGATGACTCAGGCGATCAGAACGCAGTAGAGGGTACGTTATGGTCGAACGGATAATTCACGTTCAAGTTTTCAATCATCACTATTCAAAAGAAAGCAAAATGTTTTTAATGAGTCAGTATAATCTCTCTTTAGATAACCAGGCTCATAGTGATTTGAACGACTGTGATGACGGTRAGACAGTTTCTTTCAATTACTAGCAATAGAAAAAATTCTACTCTGCCTTCTCTATCTGCCAATCTATTCCGTTTTGTTCCGTTTAGCTCTGCTCTGTTCTTCTCTGCTCCGCTCCTTTCCGTTCCGTTCCGTTCCGTTCCGTTCTGTTTTGTCTTGTAAGCATTGCTTGGAAATTTATTTGTATACTTTAGATCGCAACACAGCTCCTGTTCTCACCGATATATTCATCAAGCCAGAAGCAACTATAAATCCAACG